AAATCCCTGTTGCCTCCAGTTGCCACAGACTATCTTCAGAAAGGAAGAAAACATGCAGCTTCTTTCTTCCTCCCACCCTAGAGAATACTCCCTGGGCTGCGACTCACAGTCTTATAGGAAACCAGGTGGCCAAGGAGACAGGATAAGCCATCTGCAGGCTGAAGCCCTGCAGGTCAGGTGGCTGCAGCTCAGGAGGCAGCCTGACCAACAGACATTGTGGACCAAGGCTGTCACAAGACCTCCATGTCAGGGGAAATGATCAGCATTGTTCCAGAACATATACAGGAAAAAAGTTAAGAAGGATTTGGCTGCAAAATGCAAGAGACTGGGCTTGCTTCTTTCTGCCTGTTTCATCCCAGCTGCTATGATGTAGTGTACACTCAATAGTTTGTAGTTTGAAGGCAAAGTATAATGTGAGTCTGGTGGTGGGGAGGGGGAAGGCAGAGGTTGGGTAATTGATTAAAAATTTTCCACTAAATCGGTCATATTTTCAGTATTCTACAATCTGCATGACCTTATTGAAAATAAAAGCAAAAACATCAAAATTCAATGCAACACTAAAGCAAACAAGATGATCACTGAATGACAGGAAACAAGGAGCACAAACAGGGATTAAGAGAGTCAGGTGGAGCTGCTAGAAGGACCACCCTCCAGGTCCCCACAGCACTGACAGGGGTGATGCTTTTGACACATCCATTGAACTCTGAGTATTAGTTTCCATATATGGGGAGATAACAATATATCACACAATTTTCTGGGAGATTAAATGAAGATACACACACTTAGGACAGTTTTTTTATACACTGAACAAGGACTAAGGCTGTGTCTTAACTGACTTAATACATTTCATCAATCAGACCTTATAGACAATGTGGGATTTGAGACGATTTAACATTGGTAAAGGTTTTGAGTTTAACAAATACAGATATAGAATATAGATATTGAACAGTATGAGAATGATCCAGAACTGTGCCAGAGAGCTCTGTTGCTTCCTTAGATCTAACTGCAATGTCCTCCATGTCCCAGAGGGATTTGTGAACAGGCAACTCCCATCCAATCTCTTGTGACTACCTACACCAGGGGTAATGTCACTCTCCTCTTCTTGGTGACTTAGCCAGGCCACACTCCCTGGCCATCTGAGTGAGGTACATCATTCTCTCAGGTGAGTAGAGATAAGCAGGTGGCACTGGGAACTCAGGGCCATTGCTGTGAGGGTCTTGCTCACCTGCTGTTGAAGTATGCTATTAGGTCCTGACAGCATTTCCTCATTTTTCTCTATCATCTGTTTTTCTAAAGAAAAGAAATGTGTTTGCATCTTAAAACTTTCGTGTAGTATGTTTTTTAATTGCAACATCTTAAGAAATAAATGTATTTTCATTTCCAATTATTTAGGGACATAAGAGTATGTATTTATTTTTAATGTTTTGGATGGCAGCAGGATGCTGAATTAATTGTCCCAAGACTGAAATTTTGCAGAGGGAGAAGGATTATCTTTACTTCAAGTGGGGGTGACTCCGGGGGGAGGGGGTGTCACAGTAATGCTGGAAGCAATTCTCCTGAGCATGTTCATGTTTCTCCAAGCACAAGGATGGTGGAGTGGACCAGATCTGGGATGTGGATGGCAGAGGGAACATGGTGCTTTCCTAGGGTGCTGAGGCAGCAGAGCACCCTAGGGTGGGACGTGGCCCTCTCTCAGGTCACTTGTGTGATGTTAGGCAGATGCCCTGAGATGCTGGATTGTCAGTCTGCAATAAGATGAGCAGGACCTCAGAGGCTCTGGAGAAGGTGAAACACAGTCAGAAATCCCTGGATGCTGCTGGCTTGTAATGATGGCTGGGTGTTTTTCTACCAGTACTGTTAACAGTCCCCCAAGTTGAGCAGGCACCAGGTTGTTCCCATGAAACTTAAGCAATTGCCTAGAGAAGAGTAAAAGTGAGCAGGCAAGACAGGCCCCATGTGTGCTGCACACCACGTTCCCTGGTCCCCCTGGTGACCTTGGGGGTTGTTACATGAGGCTCCAAGACAGTGGCAGAGATTGTCCCAGTGTGCCTCCCTCCCCTCACTGCCTCCTCTCTCCCTCCATCTTTTCAGCAAATGCTGTCCAGGACTTCACACCGACTGATGCACTCCAGTCCTTGATTCACTTTGTCCACAGAGGTAAACGGGACAGCAACTCTGTTTCCTCCACAGCGCTCAGACTTCATCTGCCAGCAGGGTGGGATTTGACAGAGAGGAAATCTACACTCGTCTGTCATCGATCTTCTGCAGTGTACTTCAGGTTTGTTGGATATTTATTTTAAGCAACAAGTTCATTTGCAGTATTGCTTATTCCACGAGCATTTCAGAACTTTGGACTATGGGTGAGCTGAATGTAACAGTTAGTTTGGGGAATTATTACAAGATAATGAAATGTTCTTGAAACTTGTCATTGTTTTCCTGAAATGCCCCCATGCTAAAGTCTCCCCAGAATGAGGAGAGGTTAGTTTCTTCATGTTGGTAAGGGCATCAAAATATAATACACACCATGTAGAAATTGAAAATTTGAGAAGGTTTAATCTCTTTAATAAAAAAAAATGTGGAAGAAGCCATTATTGATTTCCTCGAGAAAGGCCAGGTATATTTTATGTCCACCGCTGTTCCTAACTTTATTTTGTCACTATTTAAAAATCCCACCTCGAATCTCGTTTAGGTATTTTCCCTGCTTGGACTGATAGTGACCTCCTGAAGTGCAGGCCAGGTTTACAAGCCCTTGATCTTCATCCAGCATCTACACGGAGGCAGCTGAGCATCAAGACAGAGTGGACAACAGTGAGCTGCCCCTGAGGCTTCCCCATTGTTCTGCTAACTCTCTATTTCTCAGTTTCCATGATAATTGATTGTGGCAGTCGATAAAGCACATGATGTTGGAAAACAGTCAAAGCTTTTCTGATGAATAACCTCTAAGTTCTATCCTTGTCCACGTGAGATTAAGTGTAAGAGGCAGAGCTTTAAGATGAACTTGGAAGAGTCTAGGCTATGCTGAAAAGAGATGAGTTTTTCCAGGAACCTGTGCTTAGCCAGAGCCTCACAATAAATATCTCAGATAGTTGTTTATATGTTCATGTGAGTATATTCATAAAAATGTATAAAGTTTATATAAGGTTATACAATATAAGTTTTCATATGACATACAGAAATTTTCAAATCCATTTTTTAATAAGCTGTATGCTTCATTTATTTGTGGATCATTTCCTTTCCTATTTTGAATACTAAATTCTTAAAGGTACAAGTAGGTACTAAAATCGGGAAACTGAATTAGTGTATCTCACAATACTATAAAGTTAACAGCCACCTTCAGGATAGCTTCATCAGAACAATTAGTATACACATTAATATTTTAACAGGATTGTGCCTTTGTTCTTTTTCAAGTGGTAGTATTCTAAGAATTTTCACTGCTTTAATCTTCACCAAACGCAAAGCCAAATATTATTCTTGTGCTCCTTTTAGGCAGAGTAGACAGAGGATCAGAGGATCCAGGGAAGCTGGACCCATGTTGGATCCAGCTAGAGTCTGGACCCCTCACCACACGCCCTTTGGAGGTCTAAGAACCTCAGGGTCCTGCCCAAGGGAAGTAAGGCTTACTTCATACAGCCAAGGGACCCTGAAGTGTGGCCCAATCCTGTGAGAAGAGGAGCCTCGAATGTTTGAAATAGATTTCCCCCAAATCATGTTTCCATTACTTTCTAAATATCTCTTATATGAAATATGCCTCTAACAGTTTTTAATGTAGTAGTTGGATCCTTAAACTGGGTGGTTTGGACATACTTTGCCCTTCAATAACAAGAACCCTTGGAATAATGACCTCACTTTCTGTCTTACACTATTTGTGTCATATGGGGCACAAATTTCTAATACTTGTTGATAACGATCACTACCATTCAGAAGTTCTTGACCCTGAACTGTGGCAATCTCGTGAGTTACCAATCCCTTTAATACTTGTTGTTTTACAATTTGTTGAATCATAGGTCATTTCACCTCCTGGGATCTGCAGCCCCTGGAACATCCTCTGGTTGGCACAATCAGGCTGGTGCCCACACGTGTGCCTGCTCACTAGGCATTCATTTCAGCCTTCTCCACGACATTACCCAAGCTTTTTTGGTGGTCCAGGTGGAACCTCATGGACATCACCACCTGGATGAACAATCACACAGGGTGGACAGATTTCATTCTGGTGGGACTCTTCAGTCAATCCCAACATCCATCTCTGCTTTGTGTGGCCATCTTTGTGGTTTTCTTGATGGCCTTGTCCGGAAATGCTCTCCTAATCCTCCTGATACACTCCAATGTCCAGCTCCACACTCCCATGTACTTCTTCATCAGCCAGCTGTCCCTCGTGGACATGATGTACATCTCCATCACTGTGCCCAAGGTGCTCCTGGACCAGATGCTGGATGTGAGTACCATCTCCGTCCCTGAATGTGGGATACAGATGTTCCTCTATGTGACACTAGGAGGCTCAGAACATTTCCTTCTGGCAGCTATGGCCTATGACCGCTACATGGCCATCTGCCATCCGCTTCGTTACCCTATGCTCATGAACCACAGGGTGTGTCTCCTCCTGGTATCTGGCTGCTGGTTCCTAGGATCAGTGGATGGCTTCATGCTGACTTCTATCACCATGACCTTCCCATTCTGCAAATCCCGGAAGATCCATCACTTCTTCTGTGAAGTGCCTGCCGTGATGAAGCTCTCCTGCTCAGACACCTCGCTCTATGAGACACTCATGTACCTGTGCTGTGTCCTCATGCTCCTCATCCCTGTGACAGTCATTTCAGTATCTTATTCCTGCATCCTCCTCACCATCCACAGGATGAACTCTGCAGAGGGCAGGAGGAAGGCCCTGGCCACCTGCTCCTCACACATGATGGTGGTCATGCTCTTCTATGGTGCTGCTGTCTACAACTATATGCTTCCCAGCTCCTACCACACCCCGCAGAAGGACATGGTGGTGTCCGTCTTTTACACCATACTCACACCTGTGCTGAACCCCTTAATCTACAGTTTTAGGAACAAAGATGTTACTGGGGCTCTGAGAAAAATGTTGAGTGTGGGAACTTTTTTCCGGGAAACAATAAAATAGGGAATTTTGGTAACCATGGTTTCTTCTCCTTCTCTCCACATCAGATGATCAAGAATTTCCTTGCCTCAACCTTCTCTGGACTCCTAGGTCATGGTGTCTCATTCATAAGCATCCTTTCAGGGATCAACTTCCTCTGTCCACTCCTTGTGCATTCAAAGTCCTTATGCGACTCCATGTTATATTTCTAAGTGGACAACCCCTTTCTGTTTCATATTATTAGGAAACACATAGTGGATATTTAGAGGAAGTGGTCATGAAGTGCTCTACTTATAAGGTGGAGAGAGATAAGGGAAGCGATGAAGCAAAAGGGGATTCTGTGTTGACATGGATGAGTCTAGATAAAGGCTGTGTGGGAAATAATTCTAAAATTCATTTATGCCAATTTTCAAAAATAATCTCATTTGTCTGTTTTTGCTTTTGTTGCTTGTGCTTTCAAGGTTCTACCCAAAAACTTATTGCATAGAATAATGTCATGAAGCATTTTTTTCCTGTTTTTTTAAACCTTTCATAGATTCAGATCTTGATTTATATCTTCAATCATTTAAAGATTTATATCTTCAATCATTTTGAGTACTGTGAGAGATAGGGGTCTAGTTTCATTATTTTGTACATGCGCAACTCTAATTTCCCAGCACCCTTTACTGAAGACACATTCCTTTGCCCAATGTGTATTATTGGTGACATTGCTAAAAAATAATTTGGTTGTAAGCTCATGGGTTTATCTCTATGGATTTGCAGTATCTTTTGAAGTCAGGTAATGTGGATGCCTCCAATTTTGCTCCTTTTACTCAGGATTATGTTTGGTATTCAGGATCCTCTGTGGTTCCATACTAATTTTAGGATATTTTTTCTATTTCTATGAAAGATTTTGAGTATTTTGATGGGGATTGCTTTGAACAGTAGGATATTTTAACAACATTCATTATTTCGATCTATGAACATGGAATAATGTTAATTTATTTTTGCAATTTCCTTTATTGATATTTTATACTTTTCGATCTAGAGATTTTTAATCTCCTTAATTAAATTTATTTCTAGACATATTTTCTTTTTGGTAGCCATTAACTTACGAAAGTTATTAGCTTTTAAAAGCCACTACATTAACCATACATGACTTCTTTATTTATTTTTCAGATAGTTTGCTATTACTCTGTAGAGATGAGACTGGTTTTATATGTTGATTTTGAATCCTATTATTTCATGAATTGGTTCATTATTTCTAACAATTTTTGATGGAGTTTTTTTGGTTTTTTTCCCTGTATAAAATGATGTCTTCTGTGTACAGGGACAACCTATCTCCTTCTCTCCAATTTGGATGCTTCTTATTTCTTTCTACTATCTAATTGCTCTGGATAGATCTTACAGTCGTGTATTAAGGGAAAGTCATCCTGGTCTTCTTCCATATCTTAGAGTAAAGCCTTCAAATTTCCCTATTTGGTATGATGTTAATTGAAGGTTTTTCACATATGGCCATTATTGTGTAGAAATATGTACTTTCTACTCCTAATTTGTAAGCTTTTTTTTTTTAAATCATGAATCGATGTTGAGCTTGTCAAGTGATTTTTTTATGCCTTTGAGATAATTATATAGCTTTTATCCTTTATTTTAATGTGATATATCACATTCATTGTGAATATGTGTTGAACATAATAGTAAATAATACGCCCTGGTTTGGATCCCATTTGATCTTAGTGTACAATATTTTAAATATGTTTTGCTAGTATTTTGTTAAGGATTTTTGCATCTCTGCAATTTTGCATTTCTATAATTTTATTTCTGTTTTTGAGTGTCCATTCCTGGATTCAATATTAGAATAATAAAACATTTATATTATGTTCAAATTTTATGACTTTTTGTGTCTCTGTGGTTGTTTTTCTGTCCAGTATTAAGTAAGAAAGATGCTGAAGTTCAATTTCCCAGCTCCACAAGCTAAGTTGTGACCTTTACAAACTGGCTTCCTGCCCTGGTATTCTACTTGAAAATGGGCCAGGTGCATTATTTAGAGAAATAAAAACAAAAAAAATTTAAATAAGAATCATAAACATTTTATTTTAGTAAGAAAGAATTCCCAGATGACCCTAAATACAAAATAATAGTAACCACATAATATCATTGACCTGAACTTATTGTTTCCTTATGTATGAAGAATTATGGGTATCATTCCAAAAATAAAAAAATCCAATGGATAACCTGCAAGCTCTTGTCCAAATGCCAAAGGTTCCCATCGCACCGCATTCTGAGTCAGGTGAAGGTACGTTGTCACGTGAAACTCCAGGACACCAGAAATAAACCAAGGAGAAAGGGAATTCCTCACACAACTCTGTGCTGGGTCAGTCTGGGGGCGTGGTGGTGGGTGCTGCAGCAGAGGAGCAAGTTCAGACCAAGGGCTTCCTCTGCTGATGTCCAGCCCCCCCGCCCCCCAGGGGCTTGCAGAGCAGATCCCTGCTCAGCACTTGGCTTCTGGCTCCCCCTGCAGCACATAGTCACCCTCTGCTTCCCATATCCATCCTCAGTAATGATAACCAGCCTTGTCCTCTTTATCAAAACACATTGTTGGAGAAAATCAGACACTTAGTTGTATTTGTTCATCTATTTACTTACTTTCTCCAAGGACTTGTGAGCTCTATGAATGCAAGAATTTCATCTCTTGTTTGCAGTATGTCCATGGATCACAGCAAAGCACCTGGCTCATGAGAGTCAGTTGCTACTCAACAGTGACACAATTGTTCTCAGTGTTCCACAAGTTTTTATACTATTTGGCCCCATTTGAAGCTTAATTTCCAAATGAACAACTCCAATTTCCTTTCACCTAACAGAAGTTTTCTCTCTTGTGCTTCTCATGTTCTTGATTTCTTTTGAAGCTTTCTTCCTTTCTGGGAAGACAAAAAATAAATAAATAAATAATAAAAAATCAGTATTCTGGTTCTGTCTGCTAAGTCCAGGGTCCCAATTAATATTATTCAACCAATGTCTCTGCCAAACCTTTTTCACCTCCCCAAAAATCAAATGTTTAAATAATACCAAATTTCACAAACATCTCCTCTGAATCCATCTCTCCCCTGCCCCATCCCTCTCAGTACTGTGTAGGTGTTCTGTGTTTGGGATTGGGGTCTCTACTAAACTTCATGATCATGGCATGCTTGGTGGCTAGGATGTTTCTGTGCAAAGGTACGGAAAGGCCTGGCTCCTGGGAAACTCCCATATAAAAGACGTGGGATGCCTGGCCACTGTAGCAATGTTCTTCAGGAGGGTTTCAACCTTGATCTTAGATGCGTAACTCCTGGGCATAAAGGAAATTGCTTGCTTGATAACTACAATGTTTCACCAACCTCCTGTGCTCCTGGATCTGCCCACATAATAGTAACTTTAGACAATGAACTTTCTTGAGAACTGCACAAATCTCCTAACATTGCATATTGTAACTGTGGAATGTAACTACAGAATAAGCAACCTTACTGATATACTCAGTAATAATGTTGTTACGGTACTACTGACCTAATGTAACCTATTGACATAAATAAAGCTTGGCAGCTTGGCCCCTGAGCCACTCTGCCACTTTCCTGCCTCTGCACTTTGTCTCAGTGTCCCCTTTATTATTTATTCTTTACAGTACTGGGAATTGAACT